CCGCTCTCGTCGCTCCCCTGACATATATTTCTCAGGGACCTGGGATGCGGGTGTTTTTATTTTGAAAAAAATTTACAATCGGTCTAATACTAAAATTACAGATATCTTATTTCTATGTTACAGTTTGTATCTCTTGATCTTGTATCTCTTGATACAGGTTAAATATTCTTAGTTGGATTTGTCTAAGTATGAGTTTTTACTGCAGTAACACACATACGTATTTTAGTATTTCAAGGTCAGGATAACAAGATGTTTACGAACGAGAATTCTAATTTTCAATTGCAGAAACTGGATGTAAATTATTTCTGGCAAAGAAAGTAAACGTATATTTTTACGCAGTTATAAAAAGATAGGTAGACTTAAAATGTTTACGGTTGTATTTAAGAGGGTGGAAGTGTTCAATTTACGCTTCACCCGTGACAGTCAAAGGAAGATTAACAAATGCTACAAATAACACAGGAGCGTTGATATATTTTACGGTACACTTCTGTTAAGATGTGTATAACGAGAATGATAAAGGAAGACTATCAAAACAGAATATTAAATGTCGTGCTAGAATTTTAATTAGTAAATGTTTTAGAGATACAATATGAGTCTGAATGTGGTCTTATTATGGTTCATGTTTTATTTGTTTAATGTGCATTACGAATGTAAAAAAGTATATCATAAGTTAAGACTATGTGAAATTTGGTGAAATGATTCATTACTAATTTAAGTCGATTATAGTGTAAAGGTTGTTTGGTAGCAAACTGTATAGATGAGGCTAAATAATACATTGCTTGGGCGCGGCGTAGGTGTGGCGAAAGCTTGGAAATTGTACGGTCGATCAGGGACATTGAAGAATCAATACATTCTTACAATACGCTTTTAAATGTTTCTATTTACATGTAGAAAGTATTACAGCTAAATATAAAGGTTAGGTAAACGTAATCTTTAGAATTCCTAAAGTTGAGTGCTTTCTATTGGAGGACAAAGTAGGCTAGAATACCGAAAATGTTATGTCATAGTATCTGTTGTAATTACAGAGATCACGTACTTAAGGCTGGAACACCTGGACGTGAGCTGTAACTGCATATCCTCGCTGCCGCTGGAACTGCGCAATATGAACACGCTCGTCACCCTCAACCTTGACAACAACCCGCTAGTCTCACCCCCCACCACTGTAAGTGAAAGTGCTTTTGCTACAGATTTATTTATAACCTCTTCCATTTTTAACCTTTTAAAATTAAGTGTGCGTGATCAATAAGTAGCTTCTAATTCTAAATTTCAGAGAGGGTAGGAATATCTTTTGTATAAATTTTAGTCGATGTATTTTTTCTCTGTTTTCAGGTATGTATGCGCGGGCGCGTGCATATATTCAAATATCTAGAAAACCTGTCGAACAAAGACTCATTGCCGTCGCACAGGCGGATCGATGAGACGAGACGTTCGGCCAAACATACTTCGTATATCAGCTCGCCGCAGACCGCGCAGATCACATCCGGCAATGCTACCATAGATTGCTTGCGACACAAGCCACGGCACGTCATCGACAGTGGATA